TTGTGCAATTTAATTGAAACAAAGCGAATAATTCAGTTATTATTTCCCTTTTTTTATTTTTGCAAGGAAACATAACCCAGTACATATGTTAGTACTTCGTATTTCGATTCCAGGAGTCGTTCCTTACAGACTAATTACAGATTCTCAATTAGATTTAAATCAGGAGATTCCTGGCCAATCTATAGTTCTTTGATTTGTTCATTGGTATAGCTTGATAGTGAGTTCGTGCAACGTTACAATTTTCGTACACTTCCTTGGAGTAATGTCCATCACAGACAATGGTCGCAGGACAACTAATCGACAATTGAGACAATAGTGTCCGGGCGTGATAAACATCCCATGCAATATTTTTCAAGTTCAAACAAATCTCATCATACACTCCTAAAACAGATTCTTATTACTTCACACCACTGTAAATGACCTAATCTAAGGAATAAATGGAAATAATAATTTGCATAAGGTTTTAATAGATTGTTTTTTCTTTTCTTTTCGTTACCTCTTCTAAACATCGTCCCGGTATCCGTTTATTCACTCTATCTAGGTAGCTTATGCGTTGTTTTAATTCGTTCCTCTTGTTTTCTATCTATCCTGAGAGTATCGTATTTTCCAGGCCCGCTTTCCTCCTTATGTGTCTTGGAAATTTCAACTGACTCTTCCTGATAATAAATATAGACGTCCTTTAGGTTTCTATTTTCCGTAAAACTTTATCGTTGCTCACATTTTCGGTCTTTATTATTCTCATCATATTTCTGTAGAAACACATTTCTGTTCTCCAATTATCTTCATTTTTTTTTTTCAACATTGACTGCCATATAGTAGGACTGATACTGCATTTAGAGTTCAGTTCTCTTTTTCCTGTTTTGGAATGTGTCTTCCTCTATCCCAATACGCCTTCGGATTTCAGTGTTGCACTTTCTCTCCACCTGTTAAAACACTTCCCAGATATTTACATTTTTGTAACTGTTTGGTTTTGGTATCTCCGATTTGAAATTTGCACGCTGGATTGTTACACTGAAGCCATGTTGCCAGAATTCTTTAGAAGTTTAACCAAATGCCATTTCCTTAATATTAAACCAATGTCATTTCCAATATATTAAAAGAAAACGCGCATTTTCCCCCTTATTCCCTCCCCCTTTAGAGTAATCGTCAAACACTAAACTAAAAACCATCAGAATAATTTTCTTGAATCGACAACATCGCATACCAGATTTTGGCATTATTGTCTAAACTCATCATATGTAGCGGCGCAATGTGCAACTATGTCCAATTCGCGCGCCACATATAAATTCTGTTTAATTTTATTTTTAGCAACCCAATGTGTCTCGCTCTAGTTCGGATGATCTTGTTCGCCGATCTCTTTAGAGCTTCTTTTAATGTGTTCCACTTTGAATTTCCAATTCCTTCCAAGATATTATATTTGCTTTTAACTCAGTCAGCACACATCTCTTTGCAAGTTGAATCACTTAGGAGTCCGCCGTATTGCATTTTAGGCGTTGCTTTAGCTTTCTTTAATTTCCGTAATTTTAGGCTAAGTTTGCATATGAGTGGAAAGTGGTCGATCTCACAGCCGGCACTTGGATAATTTTTACATGTAAAATTGCATTCGTGAAACTTTTATCTATTGTTATATAGTCGATCTGGTTCTTCGTGTTATTTCCTGGGCTTCTCCATGTCTACAAGCGTCTTTGGTGTTCTTGAAATGAGATGTTGGTTAATATTTGGTCGTTTGCTGTATTTCATTGGATCCATTATCTCGGTGCAAGTTGCGGGATACATTTCTGTACTTGTTAACTATTTTTACCGCATCCGTTTATTTTCTCAGTTGAAGAAAATGGTCCTAAAGAGACACAACACTAGGAGAACTCTTAATATTCAACTCTGTTCCTGAGGATAGCTCGGTTAACTTCCAGGTTCGTCCGATTGTAGCTTTTGGTTTGGTTTTGGTTTGGTTTGATTTGGTTTAAGGCATATCAACCTCAATGGATTATTTAATGCCCACAAGATTTTTATTGCTGGAAATATTTTTTTCCAAAAATATATTGCTGCTTATAATATATTGCTGGTAGTAATTTTATCAAAAATTCATTGCTGGTAATAATTTATTTACAGAAATGTACTCCTGATAATAAAACTTATTTTTTCACTTTCATAGTGCTTTCATCCTAGTTTGGGGGTTAGCTATTTAAACTTAGCTGGGACCCTAAACAAGTGCTACCACTCCGGCTCAGGGTCTACCTGGGAAAACCAGCAATTCAGAGGTGGTTCCACGCTCATCAGAACCTCCCGATCATAGGGCTTGCTGCTGGACCGATCCTACCTAGTAAAAAAGCTAAAAACCTATTAACTTCCGACGATGAGAATTTTATTTTATTTTACTTAATTTTTACTAATATACCGTCATGGAATTAACCTGCATTTTCTAAGTTAGGTCGCCATGTAAAATGGGTTATGAATTGTTTTCCACCCTACAACACATTTTCCCACAGTCGAAATGTTACTAACTTTTGACTACACTATCAACAATGTCATGTCAAATCTACGGGTGAAGTACATTCCCGATTTCCACCAGTCCAAAACTTCAGGGCAAGGGTGCGCTATGCAACGCCCACTGAGTTGACTTTTTTTTTTTTTCCTTTTGATCTTAACTTACCATAAACGGTGCCTCTTTGTAATCTTCTATTTCGAGTAGCACTTTGGCATTGTACAGAGCGAACATTAATGTAAAAAAAACAAAAAAACAAACAAAAAAAACGATTATTTGTTTCAGATTTTAAATTTTCCTTCACATCCATGGTTTTCAGGTAGAGATTGAACATAAATTGTCCGATGTCCGCTGAGAGTTTTCGGCATTCACATGTCATTGTCAATAAAAAATAATATATATATATATATATATTGTGGATTAATATTTTATTTTTGCCCACTATTTCCCTTTACTGCTTTTCGACTGCGTCGTTTTTAGGAGTCGGATGTTATCGTGTCGTTTATTTTTTCTGTATTTAGTTGTGGAACTCTCTTCCGACTCCATGATTCCCCTACTTTCTCTGTGTGATGTTTTGTCATTTGATGTTCGTTGGTTTTCATAGCTGCGAATTTTTATTTTGTATGTTTTTTTCGTAAACTAAATCAAATTTAAGAATGCAGGGATATCTTTATGATTAAAGCTCCTAAATGTTGTAATCGTTTTTATAACTTTTATATAGTATGTATATATATATATGCATATGTATATATATATATACATTCGCACAATTAAACATACATATGGATCTCTGTGTGTATACATTTTAAGAAAAGACAATGATGCCTTATGTATACATATTCAAATTATATATACGGATGTAAGTTAGTAATGCCAATAAGACACAAGGTGTTACTGGGTGTAAAAGAATTAGAAAAAAGAAACATTATTAAGGCCAGCAGAATATAATCAGGAAGGTAGTAAATAGTGACATTGCATTCAAATATTTGAAGGTCAAATTTTGCTGAAAAGTATGAAGCCGGAAGACTGCTCCACAGGCGAGAAGTGCGAGAAAAAGAAAATCCATAATGTTGTAGTATTCAATTATTTACTCTAATAAAAAAGTGCACATACATTTAATCCTCTGAACACTGTTATATTCACATTTAAAATAAATAATCAAGATTACTGTCAATGAGAAACCAAGGAAAACAAAAACAATAACAACAACAACAACAATAATAATAATAATAATAATAATAATTTAAAAGAAAGTTAATACTACTAATAACAATAATTTATGATGATTTTAATAAAAGAAGCATTTATAATAAACAGAATATAATAATCGAATAATGGCTAGTGTACTATTGATTAGTTTTACTTTCCACAAGCGATATTTATATCAAAACAACATGAAAAATTTATGGCCATAATCATTATTTTTATTATGGCCGTCATCATGGTTTTTTTTTTTTTTTTTTGTTGTACTATTCACAGCAGTAGTGCTGGCTGGATTTTTCTGTAAATTTACTCTTGTGGCTTTCGCTCTGTTTACAAATGGCGAATTGGTAATGGTCCTAATAATAATAATAATAATAATAATAATAATAATAATGATAATAAAACCTTTCACCATAATATGATTGCTATTTTAGAGTTAAAAGCGTGACATTTCATAGTGTTGCAAGAGGAAGAGTAATCAGCTTCACTAATGAAGCGGCCGCCATTAATTCTAGATCTTACCGCTGATAGAACTCGGGCAGCCATTTAGCTTCATTTGCATACGGGAATATAGAATTAAAATGAAAAATTGCAGCTTAACGGATACGGCAATGAGTAATCGTAATAACAATAGCAATAATAAGTGGCAGGTCTGAATCCACCAACGCTACAACCTACGCGGTAGAGTCGCTAGTCTTTCCTGTCTTTACTTGAATAAACGAAATAATAGAAGCATTATTACTGCCACATTAAGATACGCTTTTTTTACTTTAAAAATTAATAGCACTTATAATATATGCAGCTCAGAAATAATGACTTATCATACACCCACAATTCCGAAATTATAGAACTTATCATACAAAATATGAGTAGATAGGTTCACCTATCGTTCAGCTCACTCACCCCGAGGTCTTTTGAAGAAGGGCAATTGTTTACTGTCTAGGATTGAATTTCCGATTCCTTTTAAAGTCTAATTTAGTTTTATGCTTCTAACGTCTCCACCTAAACTCTGAAATATTATTTACTGTTTTTCCTCCTATAGATAGTCTTTTCTAACAAGAGTAGAGTCATCTTTAAGATTGGGTTTCAGACTCCTCTTTCGCTCGCTGTAGCCCATTGCATCCTAGTGACATTATCGCCTTGTTTGATGAGAAGTGGTTACAAAAAAAAACTTACTAATTAACCCATAGCAGGGAGGAGAAAAGGTGGTTTGGTATTTGTATGTGAGTGAATATAACGAACCCAACGGTAATTCGAATGTGACTCTCTGACTGACCGTTTCGAACTAGAAATATACACCACACGCAGCTGTAAGCTTACATCCCCTGGTATTCACACACGGTCACCCATCTAGGTATGGCTCGGCTCGAAGTTGCTTAACTGCGTTGATCACACGGGAACCTGTGTTTCAGC